GTTCATTGTGGCGTAGTGTGATAGGCCAAGTGACCATAGGTGGTTCATTGTGGTGTGGTGTGATAGGCCAAGTGACCATAGGGGGTTCATTGTGGTGTCATAGGAGAATTGTAAGCCAATCCTGATCTTAACTGTTTTTTAAATGAAAAAACAATCCTTTTCTTATTTTGCGGATAGAATTCGGACATCCGTAATTTGGAAAGCACAAGAACAAAAGTTACAGTTTTTAACAAATCACACGGACGAAAATCGTAGTTTGCTCTTGATATTAATTAAACCTAAAATGCATATATTTAAATAACGGTTTCGATATTTAATTTACTAGCGACCCTTGTTAACCCCTAAATGATGAAATCATGTATGAGATGTTAGATGTGTTTATAGATTTTAATTGTGTTGCAGTGAAACATGAGATGGGAATCAAAGAGGAGGAGATCATAGAAGTTGTGAGAGACATATTAACACATGTGTTACAACCATGTTCATGGTGATGTGTGTGTGTGTATGTATATATATATATGCTTACACCATTCAACAATGAATTGGTTTGTGAAAGATTTTTCTTTTGATTTCATGGGGTCCTTTCTCATTAGGGTTGTTTGCGATTGTGAATCGTAGGTCTTGAGTCGTTTGTTCTATTATGTGAATCTTGGTTGTTCATTTGTTTCAACCCTCTTAGGTAAGTTCGTGACTTTCGCTTAACATTTGTTTCTATGTTAGGTGTGCTACATTTGAGTTTAATCACTAGCGATTACTGGTTTCCTCTTTGCTTTGGTGATTTCTTGATGGCGAGTGTGAGTTTTAACCATGTCGTTAAGCTTTTCTTGTTGGTATGGTGTATTTCTTGTTTGGGGCTGCATCTCTGGTTTTCTTTCTTGTTTTCGGGATCTTGTAGTAAAACACGTTTTTGATAGCGACCATGGTGCGAAGTTCCCCTTATACGGTTTATTGATACCATGAAAGAATTTAACTTTACTAGAATAGTAAATGGGGATCCAAAAATGTGGTGTAAACTTGAAGGAGCCAAATCGAGCCTTCGGCAACATATGAGGTGTTCAAAAAACGTTACCAATGAAGAGGAGAACGTGACGAACCATAACGATGTGAACCCAGTCATACAACATGAAACAACCATAAAGAAACAAAATGCATTGTAACATCCATAAATTAGAGAAAATTTAAACTGCAAAAGCTTGATATATAATATGAAAATACGAGTTTTACCCTCAAAGGTAACAAATATTAGTTAATTACAAACGTAAATAATGGGTTTAAAAGCCGACAATCTCGTAATACAACTCAATCTAGAATGAGATTATATTCAGATGTTACTATTGCTACCAAAAGTCTCTCGTTACCAAGCTCGCAAAGGCACTCCAAAACTGCCAACCTGAATAGTGACTCTAACACACCCACCGCTCCATGCAAGTGTCCTTAGCCTCACCACTGAAAGAACCTGGTATACATGTGATAGCAGAAAATCGTTCACCAAAAGTGGCCATAATGTTCCCATAGTGGCGATGCAAATATACACCGCACACTTTGATGCTACAAGTAATAAAGTGGTAATATACCAAGTTCGTTTCCATAGGAATTGACTATGGAAATTCGAAAGTTTCATGAACTTCTTGTGCAAGTTTAGGTGGTAAGAGAAAATCAAGTTTTTATTGGTAAAAATGCTTAAAAAACGAAATAAACTTTTGATCAAAAGATGGGTATAAGTATAAGCTTTCCTTAAGAGAATTGTAGTACCAAAACAGTCAGAAACTTATGGAATATCTATAAAAATTCCAATATTTTGAAAGTGAAGTTTTATAGATAGTGCCCACAAAGTCTACACAAAGTGTTCCCTATAGCAGATTCTAAGTTTACCGATCTAGCTAAGTGATTTTAAAGTATCAAGTTCCATGAGTCTGAAGATTCATAATCAAATCTCTTTGTAGTGCAAATCTTGACCAATATTTGAACCTTAGTAAAAAACCTAAAAAATATGTATCTCTACGTGATTGTCAAAGACTTTCTCAAATATTTGTGTATCACTTAAACCTTATTTCGAATTCGTTCATTTCTGGATTAAATATTTAATATTAACACTTCAAAGTGATCGACTTATCTGCATGAGTTAAAAGTGATCGACTTATCTGCATGAGTTAAATTCATGACTCAAATGACCAAACATAAGAATTAGTAATAGTGGCAACACTTAAAGTGTTACCAACTAGTCTTAAATTTGACTCACACCCACACCAAATGGGTGATTAGCTCATAACAAAATTAAAGAACATAGGAGAGGTAGAGAAATACATAAGAAATACTTGTATTGAAATCCAACTAAAACTATTACCACATAGGGCAGACATTGGGCCGAAACTTTATTCTTGAAATTAAATCACTACCAAAAAGGATACTTTTTCCGGCGGCAATATCCGCCGGAAATCCACCGAAAAAAGTGGCGCCGGTGATTGTTTTTTCGACGGAAAAAGCGGCGGATTTTACCATTTTCCGGCGGAATCCAGCCGCCGGAAATTCCTCACCGGTTTTTTTAATAAAATTTTGATTAAATTAACAAAATGGTTAAGTATTTAAAAAAAATAATTTAATTTACCGGCGGAATATTCGGCCGGAAATCCGCCGGAAAGTATCTCGCCGGAAAAATTATAATCTTTTCCAAAAGAATATATATTTAATTTTAAAAAAATACCGGCGGACATTTCCGCCAGAAATCCGCCGAAAAAAATATACATTTATTAATTCTAAATTTAGTTTTAAAACAATATTTTTATATTAGAAACATTACCGACGGACAACTCCGCCGGAAATCTGCCGAAAAATATATATAAATATTTTTTTAATTTATTTTAGAATTATTATTTAAAAACTGTAAATCTGTACAATATTAAAAATGAAACTAAAAAGGCGAAATATAATTAAATATTATACATTAAAGTGAAACTACAATTATTCCAACCAAACAAAAACTAAATTCTTATTAACAAAACTAAATTGTTTCAAACCAAAAGACAATATTCAATATGGTGGTGGCGGAGGAAATGTTGAGATTGACTGAGCTGTTTAATCAAAGTAGCCATATCTTGAAGTTATTTATCCTGTTGCTCCTCCCTCTGTCGTCGTCGCTCCGCCTCCACCCGCTGTCGCTCCTCCTCCGCCATCCGTTGGCGCTGACTTTGTTCCTGTAAGTCTCTAAGTTGGGTCTTTAAGGTTTAAATTTCCTATAAAATAAATAAAACGTTATAATATTTAATATGAAGGGAAAAATACAATAAAAACCAATGAACTTTCATGTTTGGAATGATTAAGTCCTTGAACTTTTTTTTGGAACAAATAAGTCCTTAGACTTTCCAAAACATGTTAAATAAGTCCTTGAACATTCCAAAATATGTTAAATAAGTTCTTGGACAATTTTTGGAACAAATAAGTCCTTGGACATTCCAAAAAATGTTAAATAAGTCCTTGCACAATTTTTGGAACAAATAAGTCCTTGAACAATCCAAAACATGTTAAATAACTTTTTGAAAAAAAATAAAGTGGAAAAATAGTGAAAAAGATCCCGAAAAAAACTCAATGAACATTCATATTTTGAACGATTAAGCCCATAAATATTTTTTGAACCAAAAAGTATTTAGATCTATAAAATTAAACAAATATAACAAAAAAATACTTACATTTACAAAAAAATAATTACCATTTTAACTAGTTGTACAAGTCATAAGAATGTATCCAACATGTTTTATAACTAGTCATAACTAGTTATACAAGTCATAAGAATGTATCCAACATGTTTTATAAAAGTTCAAGAAGTTATTTAACATGTTTTGGATTGTTCAAGGACTTATTTGTTCCAAAAATTATCCAAGGACTTATTTAACATTTTTTGGAATGTTTAAGGACTTATTTAACATATTTTAGAATATCCAAGGACTTATTTGTGCCAAAAAATTGTCCAATGACTTATTTAASATGTTTTRRAAAGTTCAAGGACTTATTTGTTCCAAAAAAAAGTTCAAGGACTTAATCATTCCAAACAAGAAAGTTCATTGGTTTTTATTGTACTTTTCACTAATATGAATTATAAACTAAGTCGATAAACATCATCAAAGGAAAAGAGACACATACGTGCTTATCTGAAGACGATGAACCATCTTCCGTGTAGTTCCCGATCAAGACACAATTGGGATCTTGGTTGTACCCAAACCCAAATAAACGACATTTCTTGCTTCCCCCAACCGCTTGCTCCCACAACTCCTTATCAACTAAGGGATATGTGGAGGGATCATCACCGTATCTTTGGCTGAGACCAGTTGAATACTCATCATATATTAAGATTGCAAGTCAATTTTGACAGCATAATGGCTGTAAATGGGACGTTTCCAAAATAATCATAATGTCTGCCCAATAAATGGCAACTCAAACTAAATAATGACATATATGTAATTTCTAACTTAAACAATCCTAACGTTTGCCCAACAAATGACAACCCAAACTAAATAATGACATATACTTAAAATCTAACTTAAACAACCATAATGTTTGTCCAACAAATGGCAACCCAAACTAAATAATGATATATATATATATATATATATACACACGTAATTTCTAACTTAACAAATTATAATATTTGCCCAGCAAATGGCAACCCAATTATAATAGATAGATATACTTACCATGACTTGGCTACACTTTGTGGTCACGTACCCCCCCGAATTTGTAGATGCGACATCTCCACTCGACCTCTTCTTGTGTGTGTAATCGAATAATTCCACAACGGTCGGGGGCACGCCATCTTTTTCTCGTGTCTACAAAGGTCAAATAATACAAACATGTGTTAATTATAACATATTAAAACTCAAACTACTAAATTAATTGGTTTTAGGTTCTACCAGACGAGCACCATGCTCCGAAAATGGCATCGATCCACCAGTGTGTAGCGTAACTTGGCTATCACGATTCTCACGCCCACACCGGAAACAACCTTCCAATTATCACTGTTCCAACGATCGACCATCTGGACCCACACATTTGAAGATATCCAGCTGGGGGGGGGGGAATTCTTCAACACACTCATATCTCGGTTGGGGTCCGTTTAATCGTACTGAGGATACCCATTCATCCTTGCTTTTTCCCCAGCTTTCTTCCTCGCGGCACTCATGTTATCATTATACGGCTTGGCCGACTTTCTCTCCCATATCTCCAAGATCTGGTCGTCCAAAGCCGGATCTCAAGTATAATAGCCCTGTACGTAAAAGTTTAGGCGATTATTAGGTTCAATACATAAATTATAATAAGTTGAATATATAACACAAACCTGAAACCGCTCCCACATTCGGTGTCTGACGTCCTTTGGGATTTTTTCCCAACAGGTCCATGGGCCGTCAAGCAGCTCCCGGTTGATCTTGATGATTCGCCGGATCACTTTGGTGTCATTGAAACTATATAATGACGAATTGAATTAGCATCAATACAAATAATATATTTTTATCAATTAAAAGATGTAAATGTATTTACTCTTTGCCACAGATGCCAATAACCGTCCGCTGTTATGGAAGCGGCTCCAGAGCAGCACTACCACGACCAGACTCAATCTCATCCGGGTGTGCCGAAGCGGTACTAGAGCCTCTACCCGTACCGTGGGTAGGTGTACTACCACTAGTTCGACCGGTAATCCGAGTACGCGGCAT